CACGCTTGAAAGGAACGACCTCCGAATGTCCTCATAAGCACAAGTGCAAAGGGTTATCCAGAAATCCGAGCCCAGTCAACAAACGATGATCAGAGGCGTTTTTGCTTACGTCAAGGAATGGAAGGTCCAGTGGGCTGGGCACGTCATGCAATTTCGCTGTGGCAGTTCAGTCAGGGCGGCTACTGAGTGAAGCCGGAACGTCAAAGGAGCAATAAGGCGACAACCAAGGTCATGCTTCCCTACCAAAGCTCTGAAGGGAAGGAATGTTATGCCTCGTGTTCCTCGAAAGGATGTTCCGGTAGACTACTCTGCCTCGCTATTGGGACCAATACAGATCTTACTAGCGCCCTCTTGAGGAAATTGACGATTAGCGGGGCGGCAAGTGATGCAGGTGAATGTGCAATGCACTAAGTAGTTGACTTAGAAAAATATTTTGATGCTCGCGAACTCTGATTCAACCACATTCATCAGTGGAAGAGTTTGACTCTCATTTGCTATTGATGCCATCGTTTGGAGAGAAACTGTTCCACAAAAACGAGAAGAAGGCCAAAGCAGCTCCGAGGATCACTGTGCTACCACAGACTACGGATATGCAGTTTTTTACCCATTCCGAAAGCACTCAGCCTAGCAGTTTGGACAACAGTTACAGCCGCCTGCTCGATTTCAGGAAGTAATACAGTGTTAATCCATTTCGAGTAACGTTTATTGCTAATTGTTCATTCATTTCAAAAAATGTTTACAAACCTTTATTCATTCCCTTCAAAATATTTGAACATCTAACTCCTTTAAGCAGTGGACTGGTAAGAAGACTTTCACTTCATTGAAATTTTTAGATAACCTACATAATCTGAAGTAAAGAATTCAGCATATCGAACATTTCTAGGGACCCTTAAGGAAGCAATCAAAACGATGGCATAAAGCCAGATACGAAATTGACTTCGTTAGTCATTTTCCGTTGAATCTGCAGGTGATGAATAAACTTTGCTAAGACGGTTTGATGTATTCAACAACACATAAAGAGCTTCATATAGAGATCAAGCTGGATTGGATATTCATCGCTGAATGGACAGAAAGAGGTTTCTGGTAATAATGAACGATTTGCATCCCAAGGTAAACTGTGAGCCTATTGAATATACTCAAAATAGAAATTATAAGTTGAATAGCGACGCTGAAAAGGTTCTTGGCTCAACGGGGCATCAAGGCTTCAAATGGTTGAAATTTAATTCTCTCAGGTATCTTAACAATTCGGTAACAAGTACAAGACAATCCCCTTGTTCCACATATTTTGATCTTCTCTACACAAATGGAAACAATAGTGAAAACATAATATACTTTTGCAATTACTTGAAGGAAATCTCTAATTTAGAGCAACCTTACCGTCCTCACAATATAATGCTTTAGCTTCTCTCTTTTTAATGGCATCTCGACATATTAACCTATCTGCTTTTCTCATTGCTGTTTCATACTAACTCCTTTATCTTGTTTTTGTTCTTATGCACTTCTCTTTTTCTTTGCTCGAAAGCCAAATGAGACTATACTTTCCAAACTCTTTTTTTGCGTTACTAATGGGTGCACTTGAGGTGTATTTAAATAAATAAATTTATATGAAAGAACGTAAATATATCTGCAAAAATGTCGAATAGAACAGATAACTTCAAATTTTTGCTGGACGGTTCCCTTTTTATCACGCATAATTAGCCTTTTATTCTATTTAGCTACCTATTCTTGAGATCTACTTCATGTTTTCAATACACACATGCATACGGAGGGTTACTTTCCTACTGTATTTTATTCTACTCTAAGGACGCTATTCAGTCAAAATTGAAAGGCAGTTCAACCGTAAAAACAAAAAACGTTGTTTATCGGTCCATACGTTTATGCAAACACCAGAGAAGAAGGATTTTGGGGGTATGCAAGTTTTGTTGACTTTCATTGCGCGGTTTGGGTATCATCGGTGTATTCGCATGCATGCATTAGCACTGCAAGGTACTGTGAACGTGTGAAACATACCGTAGGATGATAAGAGATGCATAGTGAATCTTGAGAAATTTCAATACTTAAGGGCACAACAACTGAACAAAACCTTACGGGAGAAATTTAAAAATTAAGAGCATTAGTTCGTAGTTAACCTGAAGTAGACAGCGTAGCTCAAAGTGGACAGAACAGTTTATGAATTGGCTTCTACCTGTCTCCTTTTATTGTATTTTAGGATATATTTCCATGTCACGATATCTCCCGTTCATAGCTACACCCTTGTTTTTGTTCCTGATCTTTTTGATGAGCACAGAGGGATGGCACTCACCTGTATAATTTCCGTCCCGGGCATGTTCGACACTTAACTACTGCCTTGTTTACGATCCCATCTCATATGTTTATCACACTTTCTTGTGAATAACTATTAGATTTTGAGAAGATTGTAGCGGTGCTATATTCTGCACTCATGTCTGCTATCCTATATCTTGCAGAGTGTGGCGAACAGGCTCATTCGCAACTACGTAATGCCGCGGGGGTGTAATTCGTGATTGAAAACAACTATATGAGTAAGTGTCTTATGATTCACTCCCCACATTTGCATGCAATGTATGTGGATTAGAATGTCAGTGGCCCCGTTGATTTCGAAGAGGAGTCAGGAGTTCACAAACCTTGACTTCCAGTTCCCGGTTTAGTTGAGTCTGTTTCTGCAGCTGGGAATTGTAGTCAAGCAGCACTCGATCCCATTCATTCGTGCCCATATCAGCGCTTCAGGTGGCGACCATTACGAAAACTGACATGCAAGGGTTGTTCAGCATTGGCGAGAGACATCAATCGAGCAGCGCCGTTAGGGGAGGTGACAGCGGTGACATCACAAATTATAGAGTACGACACGATGAAGAAAAAAAACGAGCTCGCTGTGCAAAGAATGGTGCTCTGGAGCAATGAAGCATTAAATGCTAACAACTACAAGTTCTCCACCAAATTCTGGCCGAAGGGTACCTGGGTGCCAAGTGGTGACGACATTTACCCCGTTTCCCACGCATGAACTCGCGGGCGCGAAAAATCTCATGCGCAGCACATCCCGAAGGGAGTGATTGACATTGCGCGGTTCATTTTCAATTCCATCAATTTGGCCTCGAGTGAGGGGCTTGATAGGGAAGTTTCGTGTACCTGATGTATGTCCCAGCAAGTGCAAGTGGAGGAAGTGGAAGGAGAGGAACAGAGTACTTCTTGTGGGATTCGGCTCTTTCCTGAATCTCATTCGGTCAAGTATAATTTCTCAAGAGCAGACCAGTGTAGGAAGTAACAGTTGTTCTGATGGTAGTACGTCAGCTCCGGAGATCGAGATTCGCCCTTCCTTTCCTACCGGTTGTATACGCCCTTCTAAGTGTTCCTGCTCAAGACAACGCCTTCATGTGTAGCCACATCAGGCAGGCTCAAAAATGCTCGGGTTAGAAGGGAATCCTATCACTTTATTGACGAACCGAACTAATTGCGACGAGTGTGATGGGGATCAGCGTAACCGATTCGAGCAGTCAGCAGCTGCTGTGTTTTCAAGTATATCCTTATTTTAACTCAGCGGAGCTAGAAGACCAATTACAACCATTAGGCTTCGAATACTCAGAGGAACCAATACAGGTTGATATCATGGTCGTCGAAATCCAAGTACCGCTTGAAAACACGGTGTCCAGGTGTGTAGACGCTAGCAATCCTTGGTTGGAGCATCATACAGACGGAAGACGACGCGAGCCTGCCTCAGTCCCTGCAAATAATTAACCTTCTCCCGGCTAGGAATGCGTATATAGGAGTTAGAGCTCAAATCTGAAAGTGAACGCTCCGAAAATAGTTATTGACTAGCCATTCTTGAATGTGTGTTTTTCACAAGGATTTGTTGAGATTTGGCCAGTAATTTGATGGCGACTCGTGTATTGCCGGATGTAGGAGTAGTTACATGGACTTGAGTGACTAAATGATTGAGTAAAGGTAAACTGAGCCGTCATGGGAACTTCAAGTGCAGGGCATTACAAAGGAAATCGATTGTTACGGGAAAGTCTCACTCTACTGCTATTCCAGGTGAAGTAATGGAATGGGGAGAATAATTCAAGCGTGGCGAATCAATCCGTGTAAAATTGCCCATCGAAAGAACAACCAGTAAACTATTAAGTAAATTTGTTGTATATGGGGGAGCTGATTTCCCCAAAACTAAACTTCTGAGCTTCCTCAATTTTTCTTCTTTCCGTATATCCCACAGCTTGATGAGTAAACGAGGGGGAGGCAGAAGGTGGCATTACCTAACGCGCGGTGAACCATCAAACACTTGTCAAAAATAGCCTATCGCCCCTCCATGTTGGATGACTTACAATTCCGCTTAGCCTATGAAAAACATTGAAATCTCCATGGATACGATATCGAAATTCAGTATATAAAGACCATTGCAATTCTGGGGTTACTCGGACTTGTGGTCCGTTCATGGCGTGGTTGACAAACATAAAAATCACATTGTGGTGGGAATTTTTTTCGACCTAATCACCCTAACAGCTCAAAGACGGCACTCTACAGCTGTTCACCGTTCCATTACTGCGCGCCACGCGATCCAGGAGCTCTTCGGTTTCACGCATTAATCCACTCATGCATGGTGCTCAAGGGTCAGTCCATTAGGGTGCCCGAACAGCTGCTCCCACCGAGACCAATCACCGGGGCCGGGTGGGTGCAGCCCCGAAGACGTAGCCAATCACCACCCTGTGGGGCGTGGCCCCACTGGCGCTCCTCGAAGCCTGGGATTAATGAGAGCGTGCGGCTAATGGTATTAGGCTAGCCGTGTCGTCGTGGTCGTGGTCGTCGTGTCGTGCCGTGTCGTCTTGTGTTCCCCACCATCGTCGTCGTTGTCGTCGTCGTCATCGTCGTCGTCTCCCGACCCCACACATCCACACACACCGCCGTGCTTAATCCCTGTGCCCCTGATCCCTGTATTCGGCTTCTTCTGCACGTTTCGTACTCGAATCTGACTGACTGTGGCGAGATCGACCATGCGAGCCAGTTCCACGTCATCAACCGATTCGAACGGCTTCCCAGTGAAAGACGCCGATGCGCTCAAGCTTTTTGTAGGGCAGGTGAGCTTTTTTCCCTTTTATTGAAAAATTCGATGGAGTTTCCTCGGGAATCAAGAGACCTGGCCTATTTCCCCATTTCTCGAACTCCCCACAGCTTCATAAGGTGCTAGGAATCTTATCATCGCTCCAAATAAATCATCACTTCGTTGCCTCAAGCGTTGATACTCGCTCGATACATGGGTGCCCCGACAGCGGCAGCAGATCGATACCAACGGCTTCCTTCTGAGGGGACTCTCACCCAGCCAACAACTAACTCAACGACGCATACGACCTTAATCAACCGGGGCGAGGGGTTCCAGGAATCCTAACGGCTCTCAGAATAGGACAAGTAAAGAAAAAAAAATAATTGGTGGGAACTTTTTAGATTCCGCGAAATCTCGAGGAAAAGGACCTGCGTCATCTGTTCGAGCAGTTCGGCAAAATCTACGAGTTCACCATCCTTAAGGACAAGTATACAGGTGTGTTAGATGCCGTCCGGAATTCAAATGAAAGTAGGAGAAAAATTTTTCAGGTATGCACAAGGGTTGTGCCTTCCTCACCTACTGCCACCGTGAGAGCGCAGTGAAGTGTCAAGCAGCTCTTCATGATCAGAAGACCCTCCCAGGGGTGAGTTGATAAAATCCACTGCGCAACCCTCCCAGGGGAGAGTTGACAAGGTCCGCAGCACTTTCTGTGATCTGTAACAAGGGCATGAGTTTTTATCGGGGAAAATTAGCATGCACTATTTCGTTCGATTTCGTGACCCTTTCAAAAGTTCTCTATCTCGGGCACACCAATTGACTGAAGTCATAATTCACAATCGATCTGATTCTTTAATTGTTTATTGAACAACTGGTCTCTACAGAATCAATTAAGGGTGTTGTCTGGGCAAAATATTGGCAGGAAAGGAGCAATTGGATGGAGTGGGCTTGCCCAGACCGTCAGCAATGGTCCGATTTTTTGATAGTGTTCCGACCTGAAAACACAATGCAACAACTTCCCAGAGCCCGACCTTTCTTCCCAGAATACGATTTGCGCAACAAGTCCAGGTTCTTCAACTGTGCCTTTGAAGAAGAAAAGGCTGCTAAGACTTTCATAGGGAATGTGTCAGACCGGTGGGAGCTTTTGGAGATGTTCTGTCTTGTTTATTGTTTATCACAACAGAACAACACCCTAAGCAAGCAAGTTATCTCTAAAGCATGCTAACCATATAAAATCCGTTCCTCTTGGCAGTAGTGGACGCTGTGCAGGATTGCCCTATTCTAATCCCTTTTCTCTTATCTCCTTCTCTTTTCAAGTTCTATCTGTCCTAAAGGCCGGTCAGCTTATCAGGGTCTCAGTTTGCCATTTTTTTGGCCCGTAGAAGTCATCGTCACTAATAGTCACTTGATAGCGAAGTGTGAAGGCGCGTCTACAAGTTCAGGAGCCGTAATGAGGCTAACGACTACAGGACAACATTCCTACGGTCACAGGTTACGGTAGCTATGGGACAGCGCACCCTGCGACATTCCCATTATCAACGGTTGTTGGCGCCACTTTGTGCAGCTCGGCATGGCGCTTGGCCGCCGTACGCTAGAAAAGCGTTGCTATGGTACCTGTGGATAGCTTGTCAGATAGCGACGATTAGAAGTGAATAGCACATTACAATGCCGTTAGATTCCTCTTAAAGAACAGTCTTACTCCGCTTGGGGACCGGCAACAGCTGATCGATATACCGTCACTAAATTCCTATCCAACGTAATAGGTGTGGAGAGGCTCGTGATGAAGTCACATTGGGAGGGTTTGGGGATTGAAATAAGACGAGGTCCACTTGTGCGGTACAAACCTCAGAACACGGTTGCTTTATATCGTCGAAGAGATGACTAAACAGTAGCTTTGCAATGGGCCTTCACGACAGGCCCGAAACGCCGAGCCTAATGGAGCGGTAGTCGTCTGCGAGCTGCATCCAGCCTACTGCCCATTAAATGTCACCATCAAGCACCGGAAACTTTCCATTCGTCCAACTGGAGCGATAAAGTCGCTCGAAAGTTTGTTGAAGAAGTTTTTCTTCAACAAACAACCACTTTTCCGTCCGGAGCCTTCAGGAAGAGGGTTCGATTCGAAAAATTCCCAACGGCAAAATCATACCTAAGGCAGTACACCTTCAACGGAACGTTCATCCACCGATTCAACTAGTGTCATCTCATCTTTTCACTTTTAATATACCGTAATTATTTGAGACTTTCACCAATAGAAACCACTAAAGAAGCCTTCAGCAGTCTTGGGAGGCTCTACGGTATGAAGCCAGTAGCATTAAGCATTCATCCTGTCCATTCAACCATGTTTCTGAAGGAATTTCTGATATTCATGAAATCCTCAAGGAACTTTCGACTGGACTTTCAAAAGGAACGAATTCCAATCCTCAGGGACGAAGGCAAATGATGTTCCATTAATAGCTGAATTAAAGTTACATGTATTTGTACTAAAGCGAAGAGCACCCATAGTGTTCTGCATTTTTCTACGAGTTCTCGCAACTAATCCTCCTCTTGAAATGTCGAGCCAGGTGGCGAGAGCACTAGATGACCTCTTGCACCCTCTCTTCATCAGAAGCCATTCGCGGCATGGGGGCCACCTCGCCGCCGCCGCCCAAGCTCTTCCGCTATTAAAGGCACTGCAGTTTCGTTCCGACAAAAAAGGGGTTCCAGAGATTTCTCCTGGATAGGAATCTGTGGTGCTAGAGAAAGCCACGTGGGGCACTGTCATTTCAAAATGAAGTCTACATAGGACGCAGCAAAGGCTCAAAATCGTCCCTATGTCCAATGAAGCTCACTAATTTCAAAATTTCAATTTCATCCCTTTTGCCACCCTAGCTCGTCCAAGCTCAGAAACTAGATAGTTCAAAAATCACATATTTCGGTTTTTTTGCGGGTTTTCTCGTTTTTCGTCACCTAAGGAAATTTGGCCCACCGCCTCCGTCCTTTTTCCGAATGACGGCAGGTAAGAAATTACCGTTGACTGTGCTTTCAAACTGAGCAGATGTCATCAGTGCTTACAGATGAGGCTAAGAAACGTCATGCCCTACCCCCATCGTTTTCCCTTTATGTATGGGGAGTTCGAATGAGTAGGGGACCTCTGAAGCCAATTTTAGATGCTTGCAAGTATTCAGACCGTGCTCGATCTGCCTGGGAGTTGGTTGAAGGCTGTAAAAACCCAAAAATGATGAATGAAATTAGAAGCACTGGCAATTTTATTACTTTCTACGCTCTCATTGTGGCTGTCATAGGGTTGAGTACTAGTTCTCTACCCACCCTTTGTTCTCTATCTCGATCACAATGCTCTGCTCTTCCATCAGAAGTGCAACGCCATCTTTTGCATAGCTTCTGAACAGATTTTTTGGCTCTTGTTAGGCCCAGAAGTGTGCCAGCCTGTCAATAGAGAAATCTAATTCTGCGAGCAGCCTTCAAAGCAGCAAGCATCACGCCATAAACACGCAACATGGAGGATTTCGGCTCTTCTCTCTCGACGAGGGAGAGGGATCGGGGTCCAGACGGCGGCAGTAATGAATGAAGGATGTGCAGGTGGCTGACGACGATTAATTGACCCATACTGCCTTTATCAGGGTGTCGGCACCTTCGAGAAAGGAATAGCTAATTCATGTGCCACCATCGATCACCATCTGACAGCATAAGGGTTGGCATTATGGAGAGGATTATCGCTACGGATAAAGTAGTTTTGGGCTTATAGTCAATTGTCGCACGCCCAAAGGGGAAAAGGAAGCTATTTTGTGAGCTATACTAGAGAAGCAGGTTCTCTTAGCATCTAACATTTCAAAAAGGCAGGAGCCTACCGAATTTTGCGGGATGGAATGGAATTTCATGAATAGCACAGCGACAATAAGGAATGACATCCATTCCGCAGTGAGCGCAACAGTCGTCCAATTATTTCCGAATACAATCCTCTACTCCCCCACATTCTTAGGGCATGTGCTATTAGGTTGTGCGGAAAATATCTGCCGGAAATTGGCAACAGTCCACTGGCATTCGCAACATATCCTACTACCTTTTCCTCGCGTATTCAGCCATACCAGACTGTCGGCCCATATTCAACACAAACTCCTTTTCGAGTTCAAATCCGGCCACTACGCTGCTGAAACCCATTGAAATTGTGTCGATTACATGATCTTGGAGCCCCTTCAAAGCATTTCTATGCCCACCTTTTTCCAACGTCTCATGCCCTGTTGAGGAGATCGAAGATTGATCTCGATCCGCGACCGATTTCGATATCATGGAATCTCCCAATATGTTGCTCGCTACAAATGTGTAGCGTCCTTTTATAGTATAGCCAGTGGAAGCTTCCAGGATCTATAGAAATGTGGACCTTCGCGGAACTTCGCCGGATAAAGTCCTCAAGCCTTGGGGGCATTCATCAATTCTTTCTGAGGATGAGCCCACGTATCCGACTTCCATTCGGAATTGTAGTGGCGTATAGAACGTATGTGAGCTACACCTGCGACGGTCAACCAATGTACAAGTCAGTGTGTATATCCTCCCAAACGAGTCTGGTACCAATTAACGAACCCTGAAGAGATGGAAGGCTTGGCCTAGGTGGATATCGACCCGAGATACAAGGAGTGGTCATGCGTGTGACGGTGCGCCACTTCCCACTACACTTTCCCTCCACCCATTTTGACAGATATATCCGCTCAACCTAATGAAACTCATGGAGTCCCTTCAAAGTTAGGATTGACAGCCGGCCAACAAAATGGCAGAAAGCTGGTGCAATAGTGTCAAGACCAACCAAACAAGGTATTTCATTCTGACATGAAACGGGAATTCCGTCAGGAATGGCTCGCCGGAAGTTTGTTTTCATCATTCCTATTTGGATCATTGTAACAAGGGTTAGGATCGCTAAAAGCAGAAAGTTGTGTCTGCTTCTGGGCATCTCTATGCTCAGTTCTTTCGTTCTCCCGGATGTTGACCTCTTGGGTAGGCGATTCTTTTTGGAAACTTCACCTACAATCATTCAAGTGAACAGTGTATATGGGAGAAATGGATCTATGGGAAATTATTGAAGAACTGGAAATCACTTGCTCCGAGTTAGTATCCTACAAGTCCCACTTTCCTTTGCTCGATTGCTTCAACAGAGTGCAACTACATGGAGGAAAGCGCCAATGAAAAGAATTTCTGAACATTTGCACGAGTTCACCCAACTAGCTGATAAACTTGACATCAGCCATGCGGAATGAAACTTCCGAACCACTCCGTGTGCGGGAGGGGCAGGGCTTTAGAACTTCTGCTAAATGGACTTGGAACACCACAAGTCCTCTGTCATAATACAACTGGGCTGGGGAGCCGAATATCTGGTTATCAAATTACCTTCAACAGCTATGTATGTACACATTCATGTATGCCTGAAGCCCCGTCGTTGTCTGAGACGACATGGGAGGTACAAATAAAATCTGCCCAGAGTTTACGCCAGGCAAGGCTGAACTTCTCGGGAAAATCTTCGAAAAAGTCATGAAGGTCATTAAAATTCACCGAGTGGGAGCCCAGTCGACCTTTTCCGAACCTCTCACATCTGCCAAATTCGTATCGGAGGCTCCCTCCATGACGAAGAGCAGTCGACGTTGAATTCGAAGGAATAGACCGAAATACTGGAAATGAGTTGGCCGAAGCGCTGATTGGTGCTCAAGGAACGCATGCGGTCGGCCGGACCTTCACAATGAGATAAAGCCGCGAAACGAGGTTAGAGGCGGCCGGCACTCCTCTATGCGTTGCTCGTCATCCGTCGTTGCATAGTGGCCGAAATGTCGACTCTCTTATCCTATACCTTGGCATTGCAGTTGTAAAAGTTCCAAAAATGCCCCTTGTCCAGTGATCCTTTTCCCCACTAGGGATCATCCTACAGAATGCCTCTTGCATTCATATTCCCCTCTGCTGTTCGCCCTTTAAATAGGTTGTTTCTCAGGTTGTTTTGTGATTTGTACAGCAAGGTTCCAAACGCAGCTGGTTTATATTTTCCAATTTTTCTGAACCTCATCTTTCAATTCATGCCTTCGGAATGGCCATGGAATTGAGAGGAAATAAGGGTGAAAGGTAAATGGTGAATGGACCTCACTGCAAGGAGTCCCCAAAAATTTCAAAGTCCTTTTTCTACGTCTTCTCATAATTTTTCAATTTAAATTTTTCATCTATAGCTGGCATAAGTGGCTGGCATATGGAAAAAAACTTTAAAAACTCGTTCGTAAACCTCTGTTGAACGTACGCAGTAAGCGCTGCTTTCTAGTATACTAAGCAAGTTAGGAAACCCCTAAATTCAATTGCCTCAAAAGGCTTTCGTGAATCTGCCGAGATAAAAGTTCAGGAGGACTTGGGAGGATTGCTCACCAATTTGTCAACTCGCCCAAATATTACTGCAAAGATAAATGGTTACTACTGGCTACTTTCAGATGAATCGTGCCATGCAGGTGAAACCTGCCGACACTGAAAGTCGACCAGCCAGCCCGAAAGACAAGGTGATTTGTTATTGCAATTTATTAATGCTAGCGGTGATCTGCTATCAACCGCCAGCATTTCTTGAAGCGTCAAACTCGTCACAAGTTTCCCACTTTGGTGATGCTTTAGTTACAGGTCGATGATAAGAAGTTGTTTGTTGGGATGCTCTCAAAGCATCAGTCCGAGGACGAGGTTCGAGCTCTGTTCGCTCCTTTCGGTGTTTTGGAAGAGGTAAATTCTACTTCTGTTTCCTTTTTAATAGTGAGACTACCGGAGAGAAGAGGAATATTCCTTTTCCGAAGGAATTGCGAAGGAAGTAGCGGCCTTCCCACGTCTTTCTCCCACCAAAACCATCCTTATCGATTTTTCCTCGTGAATTATAACGAGCTCCGGCTTCAACCTTCCTCGACAGGCTCCACACCCTTCACAACTAGCATTGCAGCAACGGTCGCCAGAGGTGCCGTACAAAAATGTACAAAATAGATTGTTGAATGGTCCGCCAAAACTTTCGTTCCATCTGAGACCGCGGATTCCACCGGTAGCACAAAAGCCTCCAATGGTAGGATAGTCCTCCCATGCCAGGTTTCATGACCGCGACGTATTCGAAAATCTCCCAGTACTTAATCGAAGAAATGTAGGTGTGCAATGACGGATCCGATGAGTACCATAAGTCCCTCTTCAAAAACTGCCCTGCCCTTGACGACATCAGTGCAATTATTGAGTTTTTTCCCACGCAGGCGACATGCTCACAAGGGGATTTGCCCAGTCATAGTGAATTCGATGGCATACGCCCCGATGCAGAAATAAGTAGTCGTTACTATTCAATTTTTTTATAATGCTGTACTTGTGGGAAGAAAGGGCAGGGGCATTCCATGGTGGAACTCATCATATCGCGTTTTTTAAGCTGCAGCAAGGGAGGTTTTTATCATCTTCACCTTTTCCCTCTAAGGGCAATATTCAAGTACACAGCCTGGGGTGGAATTCACATTCACAATTGTGGAACTCGTTGAATAAGAAAATCCCCTCGGGATGTCATCTTATCCGAGGGAGCCGCTGTATGCGTTTATGCGTGAGCCAGCGAGGATGAAGCGCCCCCAATTGATTGCCGATATCCCTCACAGACACACAAGCTCTGTATGGACGGCCAGAGGCGGCTAACAAAGTGGCGAGGTTGGTAGGGAGGGAGGGAGGGGGCTGATTGCAATGCAATGTTTAGCTAGGAAAATTTTATTTGCAGAGGATTCACTATCACGCGTAAACAATCAACAACTACCACTTCAGGTGACTTCTTCAAAGATCTCCCATTGCACGGCCAGGTTGCAAAATTATATACATCATATATAATTAGTTGGCAGTGAACAGAAGGTGCACCACTGGCAAATTGCTCACTGCCTGTCGCCACAGTATTATTTCCATAATAAATATGCAGTGAAAGGAGGTGGAGAGGGGGGGGGGGGGGGGGGGAGGTTTAGGAGGAGGAGAAATGAGATTAAGGGCAACTCAGTAGTTGCTAGTTATTACGAAAATCACTGAGCGAGGACGTGAGTTGAAAACCAGTCAATCATGCCAATTAGATTTGTTACGGAGAGTGCATGGCTCAATTTTGTAGGTGTTTATCAGTAAAGCGCTTTCTTCTCGGGTCTTCCTATCTCGGAGGCTAATGTATTTGCAAAGTTTCGCCAAGTGTATTTGTTGGTATGTAGGTGTGAATACCTAAAGGATAAAAAGACAAAGTTTTCGAGAGTTGATCAATCCCGTCTGAAGAACGCGCCTCGTATTCGAATCCCATTTGGAATTGTAGTGGTGGATTGAATGCGTTTAGGCCTACGCGGTGAATTGCGGTGGCCAGCCAATGTACATACAGTGCTTTTGTCCTCCCAGGCGATATCGGTACCACTTAACCGACCCCGGAGGGATGGAAGGCTTGCTTGGCTCGGTCGAGTATCGATCTGGCGAATGCAATAGTGCGCCTTTTGCCACAGAACCACCACTTTCTTTCTATCGTTTTTACCCTATTGAGCTTAAGAAGCAAGGATTGACAATTCCTATAAAGAATAGCCCCACTCATTTGCGTGCTTTATCCAAAGGGGATCAAAAATGTTCGAGCAACACTTTATCAGTAAAAAATATCCATTGACCAGGGTCTTACTACATATTTTCCCAAAGAGCAAAGCTATATAACTTAAAATGACTCAAACTAAAGAACCGGTTTTTTCGATGATTCAGAAGTTCAGTTTGGTTCATGTTTTTAGCGATAAACTCATAATAGTCTAGCTTTATTGATCTGTTGGATTCTTCAAAGCCCCTTTTCGAGGGTGCTACCGATTTGAGTATTTGGGCTGCAATTACGAAAATAGTGGATATGATTCTCGATCGAACCATTACCTGAGCAATTGAAGTGCGATTGTTGCCTACACTGATAGCCGCTGGACTATCTCGTCGTGCTTTCCTTAGGCACTTGAACATTGTCCTACTGATAACTAGCGTTGCTCTTCCAGGTGACCGTCCTACGTGGCGCTGATGGAGCGTCAAAGGGATGTGCTTTCGTGAAGTTCAAGAACGCTTTGGATGCTCAAATGGCGATCACCGCACTCCACGGCAGTCAGACAATGGCCGGCGCTTCGTCAAGTCTCGTGGTCAAGTACGCCGACACCGAAAAAGAACGACAGGTTGGTGCGGTACTCAGGCAGCTGCTTCGGTCTGGAACAGCGCGGAAAGAGTTCCTCCCACGCGATGCAATTAATCAAACCTCTCTCGATCTAGGTCCGTCGGATGCAGCAGATGGCCGCGCAGATGGGTCTCCTGAATCCGGTGCTTGTCAACCAGGTCGGCGCTCAATATAGTGCCGCATATCAGCAGGTCAGTAATGGATCGTGAAAGTAGTTCGGGAAAGGGAAAGATCAACCACAGCAATTCAGTCAGATTGAAGGCTCGCCTTGGATAGGGCGGCGAATGATTATTAAATTTTCACAGTGGGACATAATTGTTACTGTGGTTGTCGATGTTGAGGTGCTAAGTCCGGAAGAAATGGCTAGGTTAGGGGATGCAAAAGGAATCTGTAGTGGTGGGCAGAGTTTGCACCGAGATGGGCGGAGCCGAAGTCAAAAGCTCACAACTCGTCCAAAAAAATTTGTTTGAAATCCAATTCAAACTGAAAATTGTAACACATTAAGAAACTGCAGGATATCACTGGATCCACTCCAACTTCACTCCATTTTCAGATTCTCCAGCAGCAAGCCCTAGCTAACGCCGCTGCCGCTCAAACTTCAGCCGCTTATATGCCTCTTGTACAACATCCTGCGGTTTGTTTACCGGTCCATTTATTGGTTCTTCTCGAAGTGTGCTTTAAAAGAAAATTGGATCCGATCTATCCGGCCTCAAGGACTTGCCCAGTGGAGGGGCCCACTAAAACTCAGAATTTGCACTTTGGTTAGCTCCTACTTTGTAAGCTCAAAAAATAATTGATTAGCTGACATAAAGTGTCTATCAAACCATAATTGGCAGCAGCTGGTCTGATCAATAAGTCGGTGCAGAACATAGGCAGAGCCTCCCAATTAATTAGGATCGTGACGAGCTTCTGCAATTACCTCACTGGGACTTTGACACCGCCGAAGACAGCTCATTAGTCAAATCATCCGGCAACATTTCTGCAACTACAGTATCCCCCATGCAGTAAACGTGTGCCCTTCGAAAAGTAGATTAATATAAGCCAAATAATTTCAGCTAATGCAAATGCCTGGTACTGCTCCACTGCTCACTCAACAAGGCCTCACCCAAATTGGTCTCGCCGCTGGTTCCCAGATGATACCGGGGATGCCGGCTCAACATCACTTTCAAGCGCTTCAAGCGCTTGCAGCTCAACAGCAACATATGCAAGCAGAATTTCAGTGCTCTCGTAAGTACCTGCACTAGTATTTCAGCTATTGTAGTTTTAAAAAGTCGGGGTGAGATGCTGTTCGCTAAATTTCTGCAAATTCGCAAAGCTCACTCTTTCACTCTGAGGTTATGAAATTCCATCGCCCAAATAAGCATCAAGCTCTGAATTACGGGGCTCTTAGCAGCAGACATCCGCGTTGCCTCCTTGTCACTGATCTGCTTTCTCGCATACAGTCTCGCTCCCATTCTTCCAAGGGTTAATTTTAAAAAACGCCCCATCCCTGCCTCGATAAAAAGAATTCTGATCCAAGTCCTACAGTAAGCCGAAGAATCTGATTCGGCTTGCAGTGCAAGCCCTACTTCTAGCTTGAATCATCTGATTATCGCGGTAATACGTAGCTCTGAATAAGCCGGGTTTTTCTGTTCATCCATTTGCGCGCGGTTACTTTCCAGCTACTGAATACGTTCCTTCGAAACCTTTTTAGAATGTATACGCAAGTCTAGTTTGGGATGGGTAGCGGTACATCTCCCCGAATTTCCGCGGCGAGCGGCAGTGTCTTGGCGGCGGGTCCGCTCCTTCCACTGGGAATTCAGACTGTCCTCTTCATGACGCGCGACTACGCGCGTTAGGGTGCGCGACGCGATTTTCGTGGAGAAGATACGACTCCCCTCACTCATTCCAAGTGATCTCGGTACTTTCAATCAGTGAATCGAACCTATACTTTGTCTCTGTTACTTTTTAGACTGAAAAAAGAAAAATTTGAAAATTTGAAAAAGAAAAAAGAAAAAAAGAAAAAAAAGAAAGTTATCCGCTTCAACCGACTATTTCAGCTCCATCGAGCACCAACGGCGATGCTGCTTTTGCCATCCAAAATGGTGCGTATCCGATAATCAGCATGGAACAGCATAACAGTATGTAACAATACCATATAACTTTGAATCAACTTTAACTTCTGACATCTATTATAACCAGTTATTGATTATTCGTCCCAGAATCGTATTTCACTGCTTATCACACTTTTATGTGGCTCTTTTCATCGTGGTCAGTGTGTTGGGGTTGGAACAAAGCAATGAGTGGACTTTGCCGTCTTTCTCGCATCGTTGTGAAGTGTGTGTGTGTGCGACTATGCATTGTACAGAGTACCTATGTGTGACCTGGCTGGGAGCTTCTCCGCCCATTTGGTGAAGTAACAGCGCGCAGTGCGATGGAACTCGGCCGAATGGGCGGAGTTTCTCATAGTTCTGTGAAGAGTTGAGGGGACACCTTTCAGTGCGAGCGCATGAGATCCATAGGAGCGTAACGATTTTGGTAACGATTTTGCTCGCACTCAATCCCATGGTTGTCTGCTGCGCTCGCCTACTGTAATTCCTACTCTTATGTATAGACTTTGGCTGAACTGTTCATTTTCTTCGTCCAAGTTTTAGTGCGACCTTGATCAGGTCATATCTGAATGGAGATGTACTTGTATATGTTTTTCCAGTTCACAATGTAGTGGTTGCTGATTGGTGATTTGGTGTAATTTCTCGTGGTTATTGTTCAGATGTGGCGCTCCANTCCCATGGTTGTCTGCTGCGCTCGCCTACTGTAATTCCTACTCTTATGTATAGACTTTGGCTGAACTGTTCATTTTCTTCGTCCAAGTTTTAGTGTTACTCTGATCAGTTCATATCTGAGTGGATGTACATGTATATGTTTTTCCAGTTCACAATGTAGTGGTTGCTGATTGGTGATTTGGTGTAATTTCTCGTGGTTATTGTTCAGATGTGGCGCTCCAACAATTGGCGCAACTACACCAACAGGCTGCGGTCATGCCGCTCGTCACCCCAAAAGAGGGTACGTATCCGTGTCTCTGATCAGTGTGTCATCGTTAACTGGAATTTTCTCCGTGTCTCCGCTCGACAGCTAAAGCTTGTGCTCTTTTGAAAGGCTCGGTTCCTACAGCAACAGCAAGCAGCAGCGACAGCTATTTGTCACACTTTTTGTGATTGAATGGTTTTCATGTGTTTTTGACACCACTCTCTCTTTCTCGTTCTTTCGCAGCGACGGCGCTGACAAGAGAAACCGTTTGCAGGCAGAGAAACTCCTCTTCATGAGGATTTAATCCGTGTCTGATGATCGCTAAAAGAAACCTAATGCAAAAACGATCGCAAAAGTGAGCGGCGGAGGCTAAAGAGAGCGGGAGCCCGGAGAGGTGTCTCGTTGGTGTTGGCGGCCTCATTACTTTCATTGTTGTGTCGTGTTTAGTGCTCGGTCCCGAAGGCTGCAACCTATTCATCTACCATCTGCCTCAAGAGTTTGGCGATGCCGAACTCATACAGATGTTCGCGCCATTCGGCAATGTGATTTCGGCCAAGGTATTTGTGGACCGAGCCACCAACCAGAGCAAATGCTTCGGTAGGTACGCAGGGTTAGTGTGCTCCTGAGGAGGGTATCAGCTCCTGGGAGGAAGGCAGCCAGTCCGCTCCACCACGCAAGCTCTTGGTTCCCATTTATTTTGCTTCCAATTCCTTGTTTCCGGTTTTCAATGCTTCTGACAAATTCATTCAGTTCCCACTTTTTTTTCGGGAGCCAAAGTACAAATCTACAGGCAGGGATTGATAGCAGCGTTAAGCAAACACATCTATCAGGGCTGCTTCCACCCAGTAGCGCCATCCCTCATGAGCATACTTCCATATCTGTGCCAAGGAGCAATTTTGGAAAGCTGGAGATAAATATCCTGCTAATCACATTGGCTCTCCTTCTCGGTCAGGTATGGAAGTAGTGAAAGGTAATGAGTCTTCTTCTTGAGTATGAGTGGTGAGGCAGCTCAGCAGCAGGACGTAGATGTGATGCTCTGAGTATTGCCGTTCCGGTCATGCTCGGAGAGGGACTAAGGTCAAAGTTTATGACCTTCATGTGGCTGTGAGAAGTCGTCGTTCGTTGTCGCCCGGGCTCGCGTGCACGGGCGGCACTGAACGACAAGAAGCGCGAGCGCGCGATGTTGAATGTTGTTGATATTTGCACGTTGAGTGTCGTCGAGTTCGTTACAGGATTCGTGTCGTACGATTCGTTGGCGGCATCACAGGCCGCGATCGCAGCGATGAACGGCTTCCAGATTGGCATGAAACGCCTCAAGGTGCAGCTGAAGCGACCGCGTCAAGATCGTCCATACTAGCAGCAGCAGCAACGGCTGGCGCTGCCGCCCACGCAGGCGACAGCGTGCGAGCGAGAGTGCATGTTGTGCTACACTTTCACCGCCATCACCGTCCCTATCCCCGTCCGTGCCTTCTTTCTTCGTTCTTTTCTTTATTTTTTTGAATTTCTAGTATTTATGGTTAGCTTTCTTGAGTTTGGCCTTTTCGTAGAATGTGAGCTGGGTTTCTCCTGGAGTTTCATGGGGAGCTTTCTGCTATGACGACAGATAGATATAATTTCCTGTACTGTTATGTGGTTGTTCAAAGTTGTTCGCTTCTCTTGATTCAAAAAATCCATTATCGATTGGAATTAGCTTCATATACAGGGTAATGGTACGAAACCTCTCATCAGGTTCTTTTGATCGGAGTTTTATTAAGAGGGTTTCAAATAGATCATCGAGGCCCTACCCCTCAATTTACCTTTTTTNTTTTTTCTCTCTACAGTATTTGAATTCTGAACTCAAAATGATTCAGCCCTACAACTGAAAATCATTAATTTCAGGTGATTTTGTCCGCAGACCCCCTCCGTTTATACTTCGTCCTTACTAGGATCTCTGCTGTAAACGAGTTCACGACCATCTCATTCTGGCTGATCGCTCGACTTTCATTTCAACGAATGCCCAGCTGCTTTTTTTTTCTCAGTTTTTCTTTTCGTTGATCGTATTTTTTTTGTTTAATTTATCATTGTGCACATTTGCATTTGGTCAGCTGCTGGGACCGTAATCCTTATGGCTAAGGGCTTCCTTTGGGAGATAATTGTCAAGGAGGACGAATAAGTATAACATCGAAGTTAGTTCACATTCGCAAAATTGGTAGTGCCACAGGGACTTACGGCCCCAGTATCGTCACGTATTCGCCTAGGGCGTTGCTGTCTCGTAGATCACTCCCATGAGAGTGATGGTAGTTTCTGGATGTACTGGGAAAGAGATATTTGTCAATTTATTTTCTCTTTTTATTAATTTCGATAATCTCTGTGCAACCAGTCACACTTGTGCTCACTTTAGCAACCGTTGGAGCCTAGTCACCGAAGTCGATTCTGGTATTTCATTCTATATTCTATATATTTTTTAAAAAATATGTATTGATATTAATTTAATTTGTCGATCTGTTAATGATCGAATCTCGTCGAAAAGTGTCGCGCCATGATCTCATGTGTACAGAAGATTTTTCGGTTCTTATATTTGTGTAATGCATTGATTTTTTTCTACTTACTGTTTTTCATTTATTTTGTTTTTAGTGTTTTAATGACTATTTCGTTAGCGAACACTTTCCGAAAGAGTATTCGTTTCGGTTCACTTTGAAATGTAATGTCCTGAGAAGCTGCTGAGCTACGATGGATCTGCTGTTAAAAAATAAGATATTTAGTCGAGGTATTGATGATTATTGAAGACATTAGACAGAAATCAAGTTAATAAATATTTAATGCAACTCTGTAGACACAGGAAACATTGGATCGCATGTCGCGTGGCGCTCCTCCCATTCATCTTCATTTCGGAACCGAAGACAACTTTGATGACACTCTGAGCATACCCGATTCTTGCATGGGCAAGCTATCTGAAGCTATATCATTATTTTGCGCTCCCAGTATTGCGTCATAAGAGTCACCTTGATGAATGGAAGAGGAGGTCTTCTTATAAGAAGCCTTTCATCAACCAACCTATTCAGTCCCAGTCTAGGAGTGAGATGAGGGAAGCCGTTGGGGAATGTGTCAAATGGGGAGCGCGTGTTCAGAAAGTGCTGCACATCTTCACATGACATTGTATCGAGTACGTGGCGTTGCTGTTGCCATTAACTCTCGACCGCATTCTTGCCTTCCAGAAACGAAGTTCTGTAGGAGGAAAGAAATTTGGGGAAATGATGTCACAAAGGAGAATCTACATAGTGACTGAGCAAATCGTTCCGAGCGGGGCGGTGCTCAGAGGGTGGCAAATCCAAAGTGTTCAAAAGTAGATGGTCAGCACAAGGATGGTTCTCTGACCAATTTTGCATTCTTTGCTGAATGCTGTCGCATCCATTGTTTCCCGAAAGATTTAAGCTGGGCAATGTGCAATTTAAAGTGGTGTAGTGGCAAGTGGGGCACTATCTCACACGTACGTTCAGAGGTTCGGATCCCGGATCGATACCCGCCTAGGACAACCAAGCCTTCCATCCCTCAGGAGTCGGNCATACGCACTCATTACGCCACTACGATTCTGAATGGAAGTCTAGTGCGGGGGCGCATCCCTCAGACGGGATTGATTAACGTCAAAAAACTTTATCCATTATTCTTTGATGTGCAATTTAGCGTGACCCCTTGTAATGAAGCGAATTGTATCACCTACCCTCGCGCCAGATCCACGTTGAGGCGCTCTTTCTAGTGCGCCGTAATTCATGATTGGTCTGAGTACGTTTATCAAACAAAAACGAAAACTAACAAAATAAC